CAAGGTAGCCAACCCCGAGCCCACCAGATGGACGTGGCGCGCAGTGCACTGGCAACCAGGAGAGAACTCACGGCAACGTGGCTGGAGACACCACGGCGGCCAGCGCAAGCGTTGGGACGACGACCTCGTCAGCTTCCTTCAAGAACATCGAGCCAACCTGCACGAGACCATTTCTTGATTGCTTGGGGCATGACGGGCGTCATAGCCCCGCCCCCCCCCTATGACGTAACGCTCTCCCCCCAGTGCGCTCCGGGCACTGCCGCCGTGCGCATTGGGATCCACGTAGGTGTCCGCGTAGGAATCCGCATAGGAGTCTGGTCCGCAGTCGTCGTCGTCGACGTCGTCGTCGTCGACGTCGTCGTCGTGATCGTCGTCGTCGTCGTCGTCGTCGTCGTCGCTCGTAGCTCGTGGCTTGTGGCTCGTCGCTCGTCGCTCATCGTCGTCGTGCGCGCGGACGCGGCTGGAGCCTGTTTTTTAGTTCCGGGCCGATGACGGCAATCATCTGGGGGGGGGGGGGTCGATGACGTCACGCTTCGCGCCGGCGGCGCCTGGCAATGCTTAATGTACACCACAGCAGCCACGTGCAACACAGCGTCAGTTTGTGCCACCGCGCGCGGGCACATCAGGTATTGTGTACACCACAGCGCCTTCGTACACCACATCCGCCGTGTGCAACACAGCAGTGTACACCACAATGCCTGCGTGCATTGCAGCGCCTGTGTACACCACGGCTTTTGTGTGCACCACAGCAAGCGTGTGCAACGCAGCACCACTGTTGTATGTGTTTGTATAATGTTAGAAGGAATGTTATGGCAAAGTGGAACGCTTGAGGATTTCCACCGAAAACATCAGAAAATAATCCTTATGGACAAGGAAGCGCCACGGGAATCTACGAGTCCTTCCGAGTCCGCCCGCATCACCGTAATTCCTCCCGTCTGCGTCCAGGAGGCTCCAGCTAAATTGGCCGTCCGAGAACCAAGTGGGCCGATTCAATACACCATTCTGCGGTGCACACTGAGTTGCGCACGTGCGCTGCAGCGCCAACCCGCACGACAGGGGGTAAGGAGGAGGAGGAGGAGGAGGAGGAGGAGGAGGAGGAGGAGGAGGAGGAGGAGGAGGAGGAGGAGGAGGAGAGAGGAGGAGGAGAGAGGAGGAGAGGAGGAGGAGGAGGAGGAGGAGGAGGAGGAGGAGGAGGAGGAGGAGGAGGAGGAGGAGGAGGAGGAGGAGGAGGAGGAGGAGGATGAGGAGGAGGAGGAGGAGGAGGAGGAGGAGGAGGAGGAGGAGGAGGAGGAGGAGGAGGAGGAGAGGAGGAGGAGGAGGAGGAGGAGGAGGAGGAGGAGGAGGAGGAGGAGGAGGAGGAGGGGAGAGGAGGAGGAGGAGGAGGAGGAGGAGGAGGAGGAGGAGGAGGAGGAGGAGAGAGAGGAGGAGGAAGAGAAAGAGGAGGAGGAGCAGGAAAAGGAGGAGGAGGAGGAGGAGGAGGAGGAGGAGGTGGAAGTGGAGGACAAAGGAAGAGGGAACAACCTCGCATTCGATTATCAGCACTTTCCTGGCGCGGCGCTTCCGCAGCAGATCCTCACGTACAGGCTCGTTCTACCTGTCCTATGCACGCAGGCATTGTGGTGTACAAGAGCGCTGCGTTGCACGCGGATGCTGTGGTGTAGACAGGCGCTGTGGCGTGCACGGACGCCGCGGTGCACGCAAGCATTGTGGTGTACACAGGCGCTGTGTTGTACATGGTTGCTGCGGTGTGCAAATTTACGCCGGCGCTGTCGTGTACACAGGCGCTGCGTTGCATACGGTGGTTGCGATGTACGCAGGCGGTGTGGTGTACACGCGCGCTGTGGTGCACGCGAGCGTCGTGGTGTACACAAGCGCAGTGGGGCTGATCGCCACCTACATGCTGCTCGCGGCTGCGGCGCCGGCGGAGCCACACGGCGGGGGGGGGGGCGTTACGTCATACCCCCTCCTCGCCCCCGCCCCCCCCCATGACGCCCGTCATCGCCGAACATAAAGAAACGCTTTCCACCCAGCGCCCACACCAACCAATGAGCAGGGCAAGCCGAATGACTTCACTTGGGTTCGCTCAGCTCAAGACACCACCACATGGTTGATGGTCGAGCACAAATGCATCAACACTTCGCCGACATTCACAACCAGGACTTCCTCCTCCTCTCCTCCTCCGTCATAATTGTTTTACGTGTTGCGCAGATTCATAACTTTTGCATGTATCGCAGATCCTACGCGTGTCTGTATGTTAATTAACGGGCGGCCACGGCCTCGCCCACCTGGTTTTAGCAGGCCCGGACAGCTGTCCGATGTGGTGGTTCGTCCGCTCGTTCGTAACAGTTTCACAGATGGAGGGCGGGTCGTCTTCTAAATGCGGCTCTCGCCTTAGCGCCGCGCGCACCAGTTTTGCAAAGATGCAAGAGCTTTGCGGATTGAGGGCGGGCTGTTTTCAAAATGTGGCTCTCGCCCTAGCGCCGCGCACGCTCGTTCTAAACAATTGCAGCCTTACGGGTCGAGGGCGGGTCGTTTTCAAAACGTGGCTCTCGCCTAAGCGCCGCGCGCACTCGTTCTAAACACTTGCAAGGGCTTCACAGATTGGGGGCGGGTCCTGTTCATTCAAGATGTGGCTCTCGCCTCCGCGCCGCGCGCATTCGCTGCAAACATCTGCAAGAGCTTCACGGATGGAGGGCGGGTCGTTCTCGACATGCAACTCTCGCGCTTTAGCGCCGCGAGCACTCGCTATCAAAAGTTTGCAAGAGCTTCACGGATTGAGGGCGGTTCCTTTTCAAAACGTGGCTCTCGCTTTCGCGCCGCGTGCGTTCGATTTGAACATCTGCAAGAGTTTCACGGATTCCCGTGATCAACGTACCAGGAATGGTGTTTTGGAAGGATTCGGGGTTATGCGGGCGCAACAGTCATGTTGATTCGCGGCATTGAAGTCCCAGGCATGGCGTTTTGGCACGATTCCGGATCGTCACGACGCAGCAGTCAGGTTGATACGTGGCGCTGAAATCCCGAGGGCAATGTTTTGTCACGCTCCAGAATCTTCAAGCGGTTGTCTTCCAACGAGGCAGTTCCCTCAATGGAAATGAACCATTGTAGGGGCCTACGAAGAGGGAGCTTGGAGGGAGGGCTCATTCCAACATCGTTGAGGACTCTTGGGCTTACTCTGGTCCTCCTCCTCCTCCTCCTCCTCCTCCTCCTGCTCCTCCTCCTCCTCGCGTGGTGGAACAAAAGTCACGACGCGGAAGGTTCTTCGCTGGCCTCGGCCCCTCGGGGCTCTGGCTGGGTCTCGGGCGAGCGCCAAGAGCAACGACTCGGGACGAGAAGCTGGACCCGGGGAGTGGGTCCAGACCTCTGGGGGTCGACGTTGTGAACAAATCACGACGCCGGGGGTCTGGGTCGTCGTACGGTAATTTCGCGTCGTGTCGACCGGCGGCGATCCCGCCGCGCGCGTTCAAGGTTGAACGCCGCCAGTGGCCCAGAATCGGCCTACATGGAACGATCGGGCGATCGGAAAGCCGCCGATCGTTCAAGGTTGAACGATCCACACGGTGTCAGGGACCGACGCCAGGGTCGTCACGACACGAACCTGCCGTATGCAGCATCCGTGATGCACATGGTCTTGGCCCTCCTCCAGCAGAAGCTCGCCGGTGTGGGCGCGTCTCGCGCGCTGCCTCAGGAGGCGGGTGCTTTGGTGCCCTGGCCCGCGCGCGCCGGGACAGCCCCCCTCGAGGGGCACCGGATTTCTCAGTACTGTCTTGGACCGGTCTCTTCTTCGTCTGTTCCCTTGCGCGTGGCTGGGTCACTCCTCCGCCTCCCGGAGGGGCCCATCGCGACGGAAAAAAGAATAGTTGCACGGCTTGTGGGGAGGAGGCTCGGGACGGGAGGCTGTGCAGTCGAGACGATGGTAAGGATGGGCAACCTGCCAAAGGGTAGCTTTGCATCCTTGCCTCTTTGGTCCATCCTTGACCACTATCGATGGCCCGCCGCGCTCTACAAAGCTTCAACACGGGCGTCCAAGGGGCTTGCACCCTTACCGCGCATCCTTGCTCTCAGCTTTGACTGTAATGCAGCATCGTTGATGCATCGCTGCCGCACCGTTGATGCATTTGGCTTCTGGTCCTCCTCCGATTCCCGGAGGAGGGGGGCCAGGAGCGCGTGGCCCGCATCTGGCGCGTGCAGCAACGTTACTGTGTCGCTGCGGCATCGCTGTGTGCAGCATCGTCACTCCTCCGCCTCCCGAAGGAGGAGGTCCACGAATCGATTTACATATCGATCTACATCTACATCTACATCTACATCTACAGCTACAGCTACAGCTACAGCTACAGCTACAGCTACAGCTACATCTACATCTACATCTACATCTACATACGTACAAACATACAAACAAACATACATACATACATACATACATACATGCAGGCATAAACACAGACATGTATAGATGCGGACGTACATGTATACATGCACACATACACATACACATACACACACATACACACATACAAACACGTACACACATACACACATACACATACACACATACACACACATACACACACATACACACATACACACATACACACATCCACACATACACACGTACACACATACACACATACACACATACACATACACATACACACATACACGTACCATTCAGGCACCCTCCGACGAATCTCGCATGTGCCTTCGGGGAGGGCGGCGGCGCAGAAAAAGCCGCCGGCTCTCGTGGGGTGATCCAGACACCGCCGGCGTGCCCGGAGGCCCGGAGCAATCCACTGGAGGGTGTCCGTGTGCATACTCTTGGGGCGGGAAAAACAACTTGGGAGTTCCAAGAACATCCAAGAAAATCCCCAAGAAAAGGGAACAGAAAAAAAGAGCGGCGGGGGGGGGGGCGAGGGGGAAGGGGGGAAAGAGATCGCCCGCGGAACAGTTAGGCAAAAAGGGGAGGAGGGGAGGGCCACGGAACGCGGCGTGGCCCGCAGGTGGCGCTAGGCCCGTCGACGACGAGGCGCGCCAGGCGCGCCTGCGGCGCTTCGGGTAGGCGGCCCCCCACCCCCGCGGGGGCTGGCGCCGCGGCGGCCGCGGACGTCGGCGCCGGGCAGCCAGAGGCCGCCCCAGAAAGGGCGCCGCGGCAGGGACAGCAGATGGACAATACTTTCGAACCCTCGCACATTCGAGGGGGGCTTCTGAATCACCCCCCCGCGCCCCCGACATCAATGCTGATCTTAGTAATGGCGGTGCTTTGGGGGCTCGAATAGTTATGTCCACTCATCATGCCCCCTCCTTCCTCACGCCATCAATATGAATTTCGGGGGATCGGGGGGGCATCTCGGGCTACAGGGTTCGAGTATAATGTCATGTACGGGAGGGTGTCGCCGAGAGGGCATTGGCCGTCAAGGACGACCGACGACCCAGGACCGAAGCCGCCGACGACGACCGACGACCGCCAGCGACGACGACGGCGACGACGACACCAGCGACCTCAGACCTCCTCGCGTTGTGACCTAGGCCTCCTGGATGGGGTCCGAGCAGATGGGGTCGGAGGATCGCGTCGCATCGCCGATGCATCGGCGATGCGGCTCGAGGTGGAGCCTGATTTTCTCCACGCCGACGTCGCCGATGTATTGCCGACGTTGCTGGTGCATGGCCGATGCATCGCCGATGCGGCGCGATCCTCCGACTCCATTTGCTCGGACCTTATCTAGAAGGCTTCTATGTGAAAAACGACGGGAGATTTATCGCCATTTTCGGCCTCGGGGGGCTCTTGCTGGGCCTCCCAGCGCGTCATAGAAGGATTCAGGGCGAAAAACTGGCCCCGGGGAAGGGCTCGAGACCTCTGGGGGTCGACGTTGTGCAAAAATCGCGACGTCGGGGGTCTGGGACTGGCGGCGGCGTCGGCGACGCCACCGGCCAGGGAGGGGGTGCCACGGAGGCCGCTGCGGCGGAGGGGGGGGGCGGAGTGAGGATGAGCAGGGCGCCGCGGCAGGGAAGGGCCTCGCCGCAGACGATCAAAGAACAACGGGCTGCATGAATACAGTGTCTCGGATCGCTTCGATTTCGGATTCCGGTAAGATTGCGGACTTCGGTTCCTCAACGGAGGCGTCACTGGCCTGCCGATTTCCGCCGATTCGGCTTCCGCTACTACTGGGCTCGAGCGGGTCGAAAAACAAAAAGCGACATAACCACAATTTCTCCTGAGATCCGCGCGGATTTCTTGGACCGGCCTTAGGAACCCCTGGCGGCGCCTCCGGCGCCGCCCATGGCGCGTTTGGGAGGGGGCTCCCGCGCGGGAACAAGCAGTCCGCGCGGACCTCCGAGAGTTTGCGGTCGTGATGCTTCTGTTCCTCTCCAGGAGGATCGAGAGGTTGACGTCTCTTCCGCGGCAGAAGTCGTGGGCGGGAGGCAGATCCGTATCCACAGCCTCGCGGGCTGGGTCCCCGGGCCGCGAGCCCGCGGATAGGGTGAAGTCGGGCGTGTCTCTCTACAGGAGGAATAATATTCGAAAATGGAAGGAAGGATAGTCTGGGGACGATCTTCTGGACTACTGTTGATCATTTTCGGGGTATGTTCGGGGTGTTTTCGTAGCTTATTCTTATTCGTATTTATTTCGTAGCTTAAGGGCCTAGAAGGGTTCTTATTTCGTAGGCTCTGCCTAGAAGGGTTCTTATCTCGTAGCTTAAAGGGCCGGGCAGTGGAACCCGCCCCGGGCGGTTCCCCCAGTATCCGCCCCGCGGTTCCCCCAGTGACGTTCCCTTAGCTTCGCGTTGCTTATCTAATCTTAGCTTAGCTTATTTAATCTTACCTTAGCTTAGCTTCATCTGACCTCAGTTTTATATTAGCTTAGCTTACCTTCATCTTAGCTTCGCTGAGCTTTAGCATAGCAGAGCACAGCATAGCATAGCATAGCGCAGCATAGCATAGCGCAGCATCGCATATCATAGCATGGGTGTAATTCCCTACCTAGGCTTTGCTTAGAGGGTTAGCTTAGCTTAGCTTAGCTTAGCTTAGCTTAGTTCCCTACCTAGTCTCTGCCTAGAAGGATTCTTACTCGGTAAGCTTAAAGGGCCCGGCAGTGGGGCCCGCCCCGGGCGGTTCCCCCAGTATCCACCCCGCGGTTCCCCCAGTGACGTTCCCTTGGCTTAGCGTTGCTTATCTCATCTTAGCTTAGCATATTTCATCTAAGCTTAGCTTCATCTTAACTTAACTTAGCTTAGCTTCATATAGATGTTGTTTTCCTAGATCCTCCAACTCCTAGGTAGGGTCGAACTGGGATAATTTTAATTGTTCGTCCCAAAACCGCCCGTAGGGGGACATGCCCGACTGAAGGATGGGCTTCTTGGGCCCCTCTTGGGAGTGTTCTCGGGGACCCCCCTGGGCCGTGCTGGAAGCCTAGTGAGCCACCTGAAGGCCATCTTGGGCGCGTCAGCACGATGTCTCGGTGACGGCAGCCCGAGGGCGGCGCCCGCTCTCCCGAGGGCGCTGCGGGCTGCGCCGCGCCGGCGGCGCACGGGCGCGGGCGCAGCCGGAGGCCTTGGTCAGCCACGCGCAGAGGGGGAGGAGGAGGGAGGAGGAGGAGGAGGAGGAGGAGCAAGAGGAGGAGGAAGAGGAGGAGGAGGAGAAGGAGGAGGAGGAGGAAGCCTCTCGCGGCCCTCCTCCTCTGCGTCGGGGGGGAGCGCAGCGGCCCGCCGCCCACGGCCTGCCGCTGTGGGGCCCCTGCAGGTCGCCCCCCCGCCCCCGGGCGCGTGCGGAGTCCGGGCGCCGGTCTCGCGGCGACGTGCCGCCGCTTCCGGGTTTGAGTCGGGCGTGTCCCCCATACAGGGGCATTTTCGGCGAGAAATAAAAGATACCCCAAAAATAAGCAAGAAGTAATCGAAACATAGTCTGGGGACTATTTTTGTTTTCGTAATTTTTTGACAATTTTGGGTGTATTTTTGTTTTGTATTGATCGCCCAAAATCCCCCTGTAGGGGGACACGCCCGACTTAATTCCAGGTCGGTGTCCCCCCCCCCCTTGACATTTCGGGCCGGGCGAAAGGGGGGGATAGGGAAAGGGGGTTACGAAATCTGCTGCAGGCAGCCGGTTTCGGCCCCACCGAGGGGCCCATCCCTCGATGCATGGCCGTCTCCAGCGCCGGAAGGCGCCGGGAAAAGCAGCTACGTGAGCTGATTCTCCAGCCCCCCCTTTGCTATCCCCCCCTTTCGCCCAGCCCTAACATTGCCCGTCGCCCTGTGGCAGGGCAGGCGCCGTCGGGGTCCTCCCACGAAGGGCAGGCGCCGTCGAGGGGGCGCGAGGCAGAGGAGCAAGGAGTCGTGATGATTGACGCTCCACGCACTTGCGCTAGCGGCTTGCCTGAGAGCAAGTCGTGATGATGATGGTGCTTATACTGATACTGATACTGATACTGATGATACTGATGATGATGCTGATGATGATTTGGTAGTGATGGTGATGATGGTGATGTTACTGTTGATGTTAATATGAGTATGATCATGCTGTTGATGATGCTGATACTGATTATGATGTTATGATGATGTTGATGATGCTGCTGATGACGATGCTGCTGATGATGATGGGCGTGATGATAAGGATGCGAGTGATTATATCGATGATGCTGATGGTGATGCTGATGATGTGGTGGTCATGTTGATGATGCTGATGTTGATGATGCTGATAGTGATGATGATAATGATGGTGGTGATGATGAGGATGATGACGACGACGATGAGGATGATGGTGATGATGATTATGCTGATGATGATGACGATTATGATGATGAGTACGATTATGATGATGTGGTGGCGATGATGATGATCATGGTGATGATGATGATGACGATCATGATGCTGATGATGCTGATGCTGATGATGGCGATGATGCTGATGATGATGTTGATGATGATGATGCTGATGATATTGTTGTTGATGATGATTATGCTGCTGCTGATGATAATGCTGATGAATATGATGATGATGCTAATGCTGCTGATGATGATGCTGATGCTGATGCTGATGATGATGATGAGAATGCTGCTGATGATGATGCTGATGATGATGATGCTGATGATGGTGCTGTTGATTATGATGATGCTGATGATGATGATGATGCTGCTGTTGATGATGATGATGATGATGATGATGATGATGATGCTGATGATGATGATGATGATGATGATGATGCTGATGATGATGATGATGATGATGATGATGCTGATGATGATGATGATGATGATGATGATGATGATGATGATGATGATGATGATGAGAGGGGGCTGGCCTTGTCAGACGGCGCTGAGTCTTGTCAGAAGCCCACGTGCCTTCTGAGAAGTTTCTTTCTCGCCGGGGAAGACTTAGCAATCTTTTCAGCACGCCGCCAGGCGAATGGCAGGGAACTCAAATGCGGCTCCAGCTTCTCCGTCGCCGTGTTGGCTCAAGCCGCGGTGCCGCAGCCGGGGCGCGCTCCGTTTGGTGCGCGGCGCCCGCCTCGCGTCGGGCCCATGGCGGCGGGCCATGGCATGCGCCGGCTTGCCGCCGTGCTGCTGGCGTCGGGTGTGGCCGCGCAGGACACCACCACTGCAACATCGACCAGCGCGGAGGTCGTGGAGCCCACCCCGGCGCCCAGCCCGCAGCCGACCGCGTGGTCCATCGCGGACGACGGGCCGCTGTGCGGCGTCACGACGCGCCCGCTGACGGAGGACCCGCAGAGGCGCTTCTGCTTCAAGCAGTGCCGAGTGGAGCGGGACGGCACGGTGAGGCCGAAGTTCAAAGAGTGGGTCGACTACTGCGAAGACACGGCCGTCATGGAGGACTGGGACGAGGAGTGCAAGGCGTTCTTCGCCTGCAAGTACGGCTGCGAGGTGTGGGGTGGAGATCGCGGAACCATCCTCGACGCGCAGGCCGAGGACCGCACGGACGTCATCCAGAACACCGAGGCCGAGATGTACATCGCCGGCATGACGCAGGAGAAGAAGTGCATCCTGGAGAAGTGCAACTCGTATTGCGCCAGGGAGGCATTCGGCTCATGCAAGGAGGCGCAGTTCCAGCAGGAGTGCGACGCAGGCAACTACCACCTGTTTGGCTGCGACATCGACTGCAGCACGGCGGCCCCGCTGGCCCGACATGCCTTGGCCGCCGCAGCCGCGCTTGCGCTTCTTGCGGGCGTGCTGGCGCCGCCGCCATCGTGAGGACGGGCTGAGGGTCTCACGCTTAGGGCTTAGGTAGGGTGCAGTGCCGAAGGCATCCGCCTCCGATGGCTCCTCTGGCGCCTGGAGCTGGACTTGGACCGCCTGCCAGGTCGACGGCGTTGTCGCGGACGTAGCCTGCCGTGACCGCCATGGAATGCTGTAAGAAAAAGATGGCGGCGTCAGCTTCTGTCGAGGAGCAGTAATCGGCGTAAGCGTAAAGTTCTGGAACTCCGCGCGGATTTCTTGGATCCGCGCTGAAGCCCACTGACGGCGCCTCTGGCGCCCCCTGGCGCGCTCCGCGCGCCAGGGAGTGTGGTCTGGCGGGGGTCCGAGAAATCCATGTGGACCTCTGATATCTAATGGCCTTCCGCCCATTCCGCCACCGTGCGTGGGTTGTGGGTATGGCGCCTATCAGATGTTCGGGTGGATCTCGTGGCCTCTCGCGGGCCTCTTGAAGGCAGTTTGGAGGCTTCTTGGGGGCCGTTTGGCTGCCTCTTGAGGCAATTTGGGGGCCTCTTGGGGGCTTTGTGGGGGAATCTTAGGGGCATTACGGGTGCCTATTGGGGCCTCCTGCGGGCTTCTTGGGGAGCGGTTCGTGTGCCCTCTCTCTCTCTCGAGGAGGAGGAGGAAGAGGAGGAGGAGGAGGAGGAGGAGGAGGAGGAGGAGGAGGAGGAGGAGAGAGGAGGAGGAGGGAGGAGGAGGAGGAGGAGGGAGGAGGAGGAGGAGAGGAGGAGGAGGAGGAGGAGGAGGAGGAGGAGGAGGAGGGGAGGGAGGAAGGAGGAGGAGGAGAGGAGGAGAGGAGGAGGAGGAGGAGGAGGAGGGGGGGGAAAGGTGAAGAGGAGCGGAGTAGGAAGAGGAGGAGGAGGAGGAGGAGGCGGAGGAGGAGGAGGAGGAAGAGGAGGAGGAGGAGGAGAGGAGGAGGGGGAGGAGGAGGAGGAGGAGGAGGCGGAGGAGGAGGAGGAGGAGGAGGGGAGGAGGAGGAGGAAAGAGGAGAGAGGAGGAGAGCGGAGGAGGAGGAGGAGGAGGAGCACGAGCAGGAGGAGGAGGAGGAGGGAGGAGGAGGGAGGAGGAGGAGGAGGAGGAGGAGGAGGAGGAGGAGGAGGAGGGAGGAGGAGGAGGGAGGAGGCGGAGGAGGAGGAGGAGGAGGAGGAGGAGGAGGAGGCCCGGCCAGGCCCTCCTCGCCCTGGAGATCCGATTCGCCGACAAAATTGGTTGGCGGGCGGTCCAGGCTTCCGCCGCCCCGAGTTGCGGCAGGCCTCACGCAACGAGTGGGGGCCCTCGCCCTCGCTGCCAAGCCACGCCAATGGGAGTCCAGCCCTCCCCAGCTGGGCCGACTTGTCCGAGGATCGTTGCTCGGGGGCCCCTCGCTCGCCCTGGAGACCCGGCGCGCCGGAAGACTTGTGGCGGGCGGCTTTGGGGCAGTTCGCGGCCTATGGGGGCCCTCGCTGTGCCTCGGGAGCGTCGACCCCTGAGCTCCCGGCGTGGCAGCTTTTTCCCACAGCGGGCGCCCGGCTGCGAGCCCCGGGGCCCTCACAGGTCGATCTGGCCCAAAGTGGAGTGCAGGAGGATGGGTTCCAGGGCTCAGGTCGTGATTTTTCGCGGTGCTGCAGTTTTCTGCCACGTCGGATCTCAGGGTATGTGGAACCCGCACCCTTAAGTCGGGCCTGTCCCTCTACAGAAGGAGAACTCAAAAGTAGTTATACAAAATAGTCGGGGGACGATGTTGCATTTGTTATTGACTATGTTCGAAAATGTTTTGATTATCTTCCTACAAAACCTGCCTGTAGGAGGACATGCCCGACCTAACCGTACCCCCTCACCCGAAATTTGGGTCTTCGGGTTCGATTGCAGTGGTCTCCGCACTGGCTGCCGGCCACCATGGGGAGCGTGGCGCAGCGCCAGCGCAGCGCCCGCGGCCTCGTGTCCGCGCGGGAGCTGGAGGCATCGGGCGAGCACGACCTTGCGGAGGCCGGCGCCGCCAGGCTGGGCGGATCGCTGGAGGATCATCGGCGGCGAGCGAGGGGGGGGGGCGTGAGGAGGAGGAGGCCCGCTCGGAACCCCGATCGATCCCGGCGTTGCAACTCTGTCGCAGCGGGCGCTGTCGCCCCGCTTCGGGCTCTCGGGGGCCTCACGGGTCGACGCGGCGCCAAAGACTTCGCAGAAGCATGGGGCCCGGGGCCGGGGAGGTTTCAGGAGGCCCCAGGAGGCCCCAGGCTCTACTGAGGCTCATTCACACTCCAATTCATTCGCAGTTAGATTGATGTCCAGACCGTCACAACTGAAGCCCATTAATATTCGAAAGCTCTTGCGCCTAGACGTCCACGGCGGACAGGTCCATGCGAGTAGATGCACATATGGGGAGCTCCACGCAGTGAATAATTTTCCAACGTCGGATCTCAGAGACAGCGGCGGAGCTTCGCCGACACCCTCCGGCTTTCTGGGCCGTTGTCAGTGTCTTCGAACCTGTCGCAGAAGGGCGGGGGACCTCCGAGCCTTCCGAGAAGGCCCGCCCCTTCTCCCTTCCCCCCCAGGCTCGCCGCCGAGATAAGCCCTGCTCGGAGTCGGAGAGCAGCCTGGAGGGCGAGTATGGGAACATTTTTCTGCTGCTGGTGCTGTACACGCTGCAGGGCATCCCTATGGGCCTGGCCTCCGTGCTGCCGATGGTCCTCAAGGAGCGCGGGGTGTCTTTCTCAGAGATCGGCACGTTCTCGATGAATTCCTATCCGTTCAGCCTGAAGATCCTCTGGGCACCCGTCGTCGATGCTGCCTTCATCCCCAGCTTCGGACGGAGGAAGACGTGGATGGTTCCAGCCCAGCTTCTCATTGGCGTCGTGATGCTCATCCTGTCTTTCAAGCTGGATGAGCTGTTGTACGTGGAGAAGCCATGGACCTTGAGTCTCACCGGCGTCTTTTTTCTGCTGCACTTCCTGTGCGCCACGCAGGACATAGCCGTCGACGGCTGGGCACTCACCATGCTGCGAAGAGAGAACGTAGGCTACGCGGCAACTTGCAACGCGATAGGGCAAACACTAGGCTACACCCTCGGGTTCACTGGGTTTATGGTGCTGGAGCACAGGAAGCTGCTCGACCTGGCCACATTCATTTTCTGCTGTGGGCTCTGTTTTCTGGTGGTCACCCTCGCGGTGGCGGTCTTGAAGGCGGAGGCACCGGTCCCACCAGAAGACCAGCCCGAGGACATCCCCACAGCCTACGGGCAGATGCTCGACATCTTGAAGCTGCGGGCCATCCGTTCCACCGCTGTGTTGCTCTTCACGTGGAAGGTCGCGTTCGCCATCGAGAGCCTGGCGCCGCTGAAGTTCCAGGAGTACGGCGTGCCGAAGGAGCACCTGGCGTTCGTGACCAGCACCATCATGCCCCTGTACATCCCGGGTCGGGCGACAGGGGGGGAGGATCGGGAAGGTGGGGGGGGGGGTGACATCTCCTGCATGCAGCTGGCTTCGGCCTCGCCGCTGGGCGCGTTTCCTCGATACGGTGGCGCCTCCGGCGCGGGGGGCGCCAGAGAAACCAGCTCTTCGGTGGCAACTCATGGGAGCCAGGTGTGCCCTCTCAATTCCGTCTGCAGCGTCGATTGGCACCTGGAGTCGATGAGATAGCGCCGATTCTTAGCGTCCGTTAGCGTCGACTGGCGTCGATCTAGCGTCGATCTAGCGTCGATTAGCGTCGATCCGCAAGAGCCGACAAGATGATATGGGAGCCTCACATGAGTTGCCACCAATCAGCTTCGTGAGCTGATTTGCCCCCCCCCCCCCCCCGCCCCTTGCTGTCTCTTCCCCCGTCGCCCGCCCCAGACGTCCTGCTGCCTGCGGTCGTGGCGAAGCTGACTTCGAGCGGTGCGCCCCTGGATTTGGCCCTGCGGGTCTACCCCCTGCGCGTGGTCGTCGTGGCCCTCACCACCGGCCTCGTGTGCAGCACGCCCGCGGTGATGGACCCCGTCCCGTGGGGCTTCTACGCCCTCATGCTGCTGGTCACGGCGCTGGGGGTCATCTGGGAGGCCAGACTCGGCGACAGAGGCCCAAGCTCTTGCAGGGCCGCGCGGGTTCCTCTCTGGTCGGCGCCTGGTCTCCACACCCCTGGACGGCGCCCCTGTGGTCGCCTCTGGCGCGCGGAGCGCGCCGGTGAGCGGGTGTGGGGAGCGGGGTCCAGCGCCCACCCAAGAGATCCGCGGGGTATCCCCGAAGGTTTGAGCCTACACTATGGTGTCGTCGCGCCGCCTGTTCCGAGGCGCGGCCTTACGGCTCGGGGAGGGCGCTTCGGCCATCAGGGCAAACGCCGCCTCGGGCGCGATTGGCTCGCCGTGGGGTTTGCCGCGGTGCCGGCCTCGTCTACCTGGAGCGCGGGACGCAAGGTTTGCTAGTGGTTGTTTGCCGTTGTGTCGGCGTCGTTTGTTTGGTCCAGTCGACAGCAAGCATCGCGGCGACGTATGTCGTTGTCTGGCCTCCTGTAATCGCGAGCCAGTGCATGTTTGTGTCGCAGATGGCTTTCTTCGCCCGGGTCAGCGACCCGGCCATGGGCGGCACGTGCCCATGGGACCGGGCTTCGTGGCATAAGCGCACCTCTCAGCGAACAAAAATCACGACCGGGTCGCTCGACACATAATCTTTCTGCGGCGTCGCTCGAGGGGCCCGTGGGGCCCGAAGGCGGGCGCAAGACAACGGTCGTGAGCCTTGTTCGAGGCGCCTGGATCTGAAGGTACATGACGTTGCTCAACACGCTGGGGAACCTGGGCGGCATGTGGCCGCCCACCGTTGCCCTCAAGCTGGTCGACCTCCTCACGTGCTCGGACGACGCTTGCCTGGTGAAGGTCGACGGGTTCTTCGTGATGGCGGGGATCTGCTGCGTGGCTGGTGCCCTCCTTCTCCTGCTGCTGGTTCTCTCTCTCTCTCTCTCTTTCTCTCTCTCTCTCTTTTTGTTCTCTCTCTCTTTCTCTCTCGCCTACCCTTTATAGCTACCTCTTCTCCCCATCCTGCGATCCCTGCTCCTCCCTCTCCCGTCTCCTCCTCCTCCGCATCCTTGTCCTCCCTCTCGCCCTCCTCCGCCCCTAGCCCTCCTTCCCTCCTCCGCCTCCTCCCCCTCCTTCTGCCTCCCAGTCCCCCTTGAGTGGAAAACTCCCTCGGACCTCCAGGATCTCCGACAGCCTCCCTCTCCTCATGTCAGTGTCGTCCCGATCGGGTCACCCGCACACGGCGGGACTACATCGATCGGTTTTTGCGAGGTCTCCCACCGAAGGCACAAGGCTTGAAGTGAAGGTTTTATCTCGTTCTTTGATGGTGCTTCGCCACTGTTCTGATTCCTGATTCCTGATTCCTCTCTCCCTCCGCCCCTGCTCCTTGTAGATGCAGCTCCTCCCTGCCGCACCCCGAGACGACGTGTCGGCAGGGCGGGCCCGGCGTTTCTCGCTCTGCGCTTCCCGGACGGTTCATGGCCCTCGGGCTCGACATCGACAACAGCCTCACGGATGAAGGCCGTGTCGTTCTCAAGATATGGGTCTCGCCTTCGTGCCGCGCAGGTTCGTTTATATATACATATATATATACACAGTTTTATTACTATTTATATACTTGCATATACTTTTACAGGGCCGGGGACCTCGGACGGACCCCGGACGGAGCCCTCCCCCCCCCCCCAAACGAGTTTCGGCCTTCCCCGAGATTTTCGGGCGGTCCCAGAGGCGCCCCAGACGGCCCGAGATACTCCCAAGAGGGGTCCACGAGCGCTCCAAGACAGCCCAAGAGCGCTCCAAGAGACCCCAAGACCGTCCAAGGGGGCCCCGGGACGCCCCAAGAGGCCTCCAAGATGCTTCCCAAGAGGGCCCCAAAAGGGTAATGTCATTGATTTTTGTATGGTTTTCAGAGGTTGTCCTGGTTCTCCCTTTTTCGGGCGAACATCAGCCCGAACCGGCCCAAGAGGCTCCAAAGATCGCCCCAGGATAGCCCAAGAGGCCCCCCAAAGAGCCCGAAAACGATTTAAGAGAGTCCCAAGACAGCCCAAGAGGGCTCCAAGACGGGCCCAAGAGAGCCCCAAGAGCGCCCAAAGAACCACCCCAGAGGGCCCCAAGACGCCGCCAGGAGCCCCACGACGGCCAAAGGCCTCCAAGACGCCCCAAGACGGCCCAAGACGGCCCAAAAGGGCCCCGAGACGACCCAAGAGAACCCCAACAGAGCCCTAAAAGGGACCCAAAAGGGCCCCAGGAAGGCTCCCAAGAGGCCCCTGATTCTGGCGATGGTGGTGGTGATGATGACGATGATGATATGACGACGACGACGACGCTGCTGCTAATGAGGTTAATGTGTACTTAATGTGTACGGGATGTGGGTGATTATGCTGAGGATGATGATGCTGATGATGACGATGACGACGATGTTGATGAAGATGGTGCTGCTGATGATGATCGTGGTGAAGATGATGACAATGGTGGTCGTGGTGGTGATGATGATACTGATGCTGGCGCTGATGATGATGAGGCTGATGAGAATGAGGCGGAGGAGCATGAGGACGATGATGAGGAGGAGAAAGAGGACGAGGATGATGATGAGGACGAGAACGAGGAAGAGGCCGCAAACGGCGGTGACGATGATGATGAGGAGGAGGGAGCGGGGGAGCCCTCATAGACCTCATTTGGGCCGTCTTTGGGGTGTCCCGGGCTCCTGTGGGGCAGTCTTGCGGGTCCCTTGGGGACCTATTGGGCCTTCTTCGGGCTCTGCGGCGGCCGTTTTGGGGCTCTCTTGCGGCACTCGTGGCCGTCTGGGGGGGTCGGTTGGGGCCGTCGTGGGGTGGTCTTGGGCCGTCCAGCGGTCCTTTTAACCCATGTGGGGTCGACCCGCGACAATCCACAAATTTCTGCTTCCTGGGGCCCTCTTCAGACGCTTCTCGGAGGTCTTGGAGGCGTCTGCGGCTGTTTGGCGGCCATCTTAGGCGCTTGGGACCGATCGGACGGCGACTGGACCGATGGATCGGCGACTCGGAGCCCTCTTGGACCATCCTGGAGGCCCGTGGGGCCACCTAGGAGCGCCTTAAGGCGCTGGAGAGCCGCGCCGAGGAGGAAACCCATCTCTGAGTTGGGTGTCCCAGGGCCGCCTCGGGGTAGTTCTCGGCCCAGGACCCCGTATGTTTCCATAGGCGCATGTGTGTGCGCACGCACGCACGCACGCGCTCCGCTTACGTGCGGAACTCTACAGGGCCAAGGTGCATGGCGCGCAGCGCCAATGCAGTCATGTATGTATGCATGTATGTGTATATATATATGTATATATATTTACAGATATATCTATGAAGAAGTTTCGCGGATGCAGGGTGGGCCGTCTTCAAAGCGCGCGTCTCGCCCCGGCGCCGCGCGCGTCCGTTTTTGTTTCAAAGGCTGCTGGCGCTTGTTCTTGCGAACGGAGGGCGGGCCGTTTTCAAGCCGTGGCTCTCGCCGGGGGCACCGCGCACTTCCGTTCAATCAAAAAATGTTTGCGCGGGGCTCCGCGGACGGAGGGTGGCTCCTCTTCAAGCTGTGGCTCTCGCTCGAGCGCGTCACGCGCGCTCGCCTTGCGAGTTCCCAGCAACCCCAAGGATTTTCATAACCCTAAACCCTAAGCCCTAAACCCCCAAGACGAGAATCACTCCGTATTGGGCAAGCCCGAACGACAGCAAGCATGGCGCCATCGGGACGCTCCCAAGCTCGCCGACGCCTCTTCAGGCGCCCCAAAGCGCTGCAAAGCGCTCTCAGGCGCTGCTGGGCAAACCCAGGCGCCCCCAGGCGTGCCCAAGCGCTCCGTGCGAGCGGGAGCGCTCCCGGAGCGGCCCGACGAGCACTCCGTGCGAGCTGGCATGAGCGGGCCGCTCGAAATTGGGCGACGTACCGGAGCCCCAAACCAGGTTAAATTCGCCGGCCCAACGGGCCAGGGCGTGCTAAGATCTCCGGTAACTGGTTAACAGTATTAACAGTATTTCTAGTTCGCGCGCGCGGGGCGGCCCCTGGGGGTCCCCCGGCGAAAAGTACCCCGACCAACGCCCGGTCGCCGCCCGACCGCCGCCCGACCGCCGCCCGACCAAGTCTACTCAGAGATGGTTTTCCTTCTGGGTGCGGCCTCTCAGGCCCCCCAGAGCGCGCTCAGAGTGCCCCAAGAGGCCCCCAAGACTGCCCAAGAGGCCCCCGAGACGCCCAAAGAGCGCTCGAAGACGCCGAAGATGACCCCAAGACGGCCCAAAAGGCCCCCAAGACAGCCCAAGAGGCCTCCAAGACGCCCCAAGAGCCTTCCAAGAGGCCTCCGAAGAGAGCCCCAAGAGGCCAAAATCGTTGATTTTCATTGTTTTGTTCGATGTTTTTTGTGTTCTGGCTTTTTCGGCTTCCGGACGCTCCAAGACGGCCCAAGAGGCCCCCAAGACCGCTCCAAGACGGCCCACGAAGCTCCCAAGACGGCGCCGAAACGACCCAAGAGAGCCCTCAAGACGGCCCAAGTGCCGCCCAAGACGGACCAAGAGGCCCCAAGACGGGCCCAAGAGGGACTCAGGAGGGATACCGAGAACTCAAAAATGGAGCCCTCCGTCCCAGAAGGCGCCCAGGAGGTCCCAAAGAGGCCCCAAGAGGCCTCCAAGAGGCCCCAAGATGTCGCCAAGAGGCCCCAGGAGACTCCCAGGAGGCCCAAAAGAAGCCCCAGAAGGCTTCAAACATGTCTCCCAGGCGCCCCCGAACGGCCTCTCAACAGACCCCAAGAGGCCCCCCAAAGAAGCATCTTGACGACGACTCTATTTCGCCCCATCGAGAGACGACCCCCAGGGAACTGCTTCACCATCAAAACTCCCCACGCAACGCGTCCGAACGACACCCGCCCCCAAGAGCGCAACATGGGCAACGAACACACAGACAATTATCCCGGCAAAGCAACCTAACAGCGATGTGTAGAAGCATATCTGAAAGCATTCCCCTTAAGACTCAGATGAAAATCCAGTTGTCGAATTCTGCTGTTCTCGCAGTCGTAGTCGCATTCGCGATGACAGTCGCAGCGGCAACGGCAGTCGCAGTCACAGCCTCAGCAGGCAACGGCAGTCGCAGTCACAGCCTCAGCCTCAGCCTGCCTCCTCCTCCTC